ACACTTTTGTACTTAGGCAATCAAAACCTAAATTTTAATTAAAAGACGAGTAAATTAAAAGACAGTAATGTCTTAATAATGGTTAATGTTGTCATTTGTATATTGTTATCAAAATGCCGGAGTCCTCCCCATTTGTATGCGAAAACATGGAAAATAACTGCAAATTGTTATCTATCATCGATGCGGTTAATATGATCAAAATATTATAGGAGAAATTTGTTTTAAATTGAAGTAAAGTAGTCAGATAAGGTCAAAATAGATTTTAAAAATAGATAAAGGACAAAGGAATGGGGCAAAATCGTCAAATAGCTTGGTTTGGATTTTAGTCAACCATTTAAATATTAGGCAATAAAGCAAACTTATTTTGGCGACGATTAGGCACAAATCGTTTCTTCAGGAAATGAACAAAAAAAAAAAAAAAAAAAAAAAAACTCTGCAATTCCTCCCCCCCCTTCTTCCTAAAAAATTGGTACTCTTCTGTTATCGGGACTGGATTCAAAAACGTATGTGCATACACATGCAAATATATGCAACACACGTGCATACATACTTACATTTCAGAATCCAGTCCAGGTAACAGAAAAGTACCAAAAAGTTCCTTGAAAAGCTGTACTCCAAACTAAGATTGTTTTTTCTGCCTAATTTTAAATTTTTAGTGGTATGTTTTCTTCCAATCAGGAATGTCCTCTGCGCATTAAGGTTAGGTTACAGCATCGGTTAAATAATTTGCAAAAACGTTATGAGCAGTTCATATATGAACGTTTGCATTTCCTAATTAAAATGCTATGAAAATACCTATTTATGTTTCTAATTCCATTTCTATTTCGAAGGATATCTTTTCTGATTGGTTAATATCGTCAAAATAGCCGTGATCACTAAGTGGCGCCTACTGTGATTACAAGGCTCATATTTTTTAGAAGAAAAGAATCATACTTTTATTTTATTTACCACAGAGCTTAAATTTCGCTGGAGTCAAGCTCCAGGTAGCATAATTCACAAGTACAACTCAGTATTGCCAGTGTGGGAGGAGTTTCAAAGATGGACCAATGAGCTTCTATTGCTCTTAGGACGCTAAATCTTGGGAAATGTTGGATATGAGCTTATGTTGTAGTTTATGTTTAACTTTGCATTTGTTTCGTAGTTATATGAGTGTATATATGGCTCATAAATGCTGCTACCATTTTAGTAGAAAATCTCGCAGTGCTTTCATTTTATAAGTTTACTTAATCGTCAACATTTCACTTTCGTGAAGCGTATCACACACTGATATTCGAATTAATATTCGTGGCATATTATCGCTCTTTATATCGAGAAAATAAATATGATTAGCGTGGAATATCCAGCGTTTATTAACACCTGTGGAATAAGAATTCAAGTGTATAATTTTTTTATTGAACTGAGAATAATAGGAAATGTTACAGTGGATCTAGCATTTTTTTTATTTCAATGCTTGCATTCCTTTGACTTTGAAAGTGTAAGATTCGATGTATATATTGTGAATGATCTGATTATACCTATTGTTAACATTAGATTTAAAAATATTCGTTGTGAATAAGATAAATTCTTTCTGTTTGAAGCATATTTTGCAGACACTACGTTTAAGAGTGAACATTTATTAATGTGAAATTTAGCACACTAAATATGTAAGAATGCAAATTCGCTGAGCATCTTTTCATATAGGCTGCAATAAAAATTGCTAAGACTTCTACTATTTAAAATTGCTAAGACTTCTACTATTTACATATATATTTTATCTAACTTCGCACTGAAAATTTTCACAAGAAATCCCAAATGTTTTAATTATTTTGTACAGAAAATTGGTGGCAAAACATTTTTAAACATCTTGCTTAAAGCGCGGCAAAGGTCATGTGAAATGACAGAAATATTACTGTAAGTATACTCTTATATATATAGTACTAGCTTCTAGTATACTTACAGTAGGTCCATATTAGAAGCTACTCGCTCGGTGGCTGTACGGTGCACTTACGAAATATACCTTCTCGGGTTTTGAGATAAATCATAATTTTAGCCGGAGTGCACCTGAGCCCTAAATAAAAGGGCTCTGGCACTTCTTTCATGTAAGTGAACCCCAAATATAGGAAACCAATTTTATTTTAATGCTTTAAAAATCGGTTCTCACTTCTGAATGCAGGCCTGGTCTCGGACGCAAACCTTGGTTAGAGGTTAAGACTTGGGAAAGAAGAGCGTCTACCGACATGTCAAAGGCTTATTCACCAGGAAATGAACGAATGAGAGCAGGTTTAATTATTCGTTCCTGAAAGTACTAAAAGTGATCAACCCAATACACTAATGACTTCCTATTGCAGAGCTCCTGTGGACTCTGAACGAAGTAATCAAACGTAGAGGGCCACCTTTATCACTTGTATACAGGAGTCATGTTGTTATTGGATCGTATTCAGGAAAAATTTTTGCTGGACAATTAGAATTATATCGACAGGGCATGGGAGTCAGAAATTCTGGGACTCTTCTCGTCTTAATTTCAAAGTTACATTTTTCCGTTAAATTTCCGTCTATATCCTGATACTGTTTCTAGAATTCGCCTTTGTGACGCCTTAATCATTGTATCTTTTATCATTGGTATGCTGAAAAAAAGAGCGGTTTTTGTATCTATCAAACCTTGAAATAGTGCATTATATGTATAACCAGGGCTTAAACTTAGATGAAAATCAGTATCCTACTTAACTTCTGAGCGGAATTGTAATTCCAGCTGGAGCACCAAATAAGTCGAGGTTCGATAATTTATTTTTTTATTTCTAATTAATAATTTATTACCGTATACGATTACATAATTTCCGCACTTTTTTACTAAAATTGCATCACCAAAATGCAGGTGCAGACATTAAGCGTGTCGTTAGAATGTGCTTTTTCTCTTGAGTAATTTTGGGTGTAAATGTCATTTCAAACAGCCAAGTTCTAAGTGGAAGAAAATGACATAAGTAATAAAAGTATCAAATTTAAAGTTGTCTAATAGGTACCTAACATTTACAAACTTACTTTCTCCCATCTAGATGTATAATATAAATTACCCCGTTTACGTTTTCAACACTCAACTAAATATTAATATGATCCTCCTCATTTCCTAACTGATATATTATGATCCTGGAAATATTAATAAAATTAATATGATCCTGGAAGTACATGATGATCTTAGCTCAGACCGCTGCCCGGTAGGAGCGACAATGGGAGCTGCAAGTATAAGCTACCCCACTACTAAGACGTACACAGATTGGACGATGTTTCATAACAAGAAGCTGCTCCCTAAACCAGGAGTACTTAAAACCCCAAATGACATCGACAGGAAAATTGACTCTCCCACTGCATGCTTAAACAACTCTTACTACGAGGCCACCAAAATCACTCAGAAGACAGATAAGCTTACTATGTTCCCTAAATTTATTCAGACACTCAAGACTGAAAGAAACTGGTTACGCAGAAGCTACAACACTACCTGGGATCCACACACGAAAGCCGAGCTCAATAGAATAAGCAAAAGGCTCAGTAAGGAAATACAGGATTTCAGGCAATTAAACTGAAATGAGAAAATCGCTGAGCTTGAGATGGATTGTGATGCTTTCTGGCGCTGCACTAAAATGCTTAAGCGCACGCACCAATGCGACAGGCCTGTAGTAGCAAATGGTATGACAGCCTACTCTGATAATGATAAATGTAAGATTTTCGCAAATCTCTTAAAGGAACAATTTAGTCCCAACATAACGCCATGCTATAATTCGTTTGCACAGCAAGTTCAAAAAGAAGTAAATGAATGGCTGGAGATGCCTACTGCACTTAATGCTAGCGGGCTCACCACTCCTAAAGAGGTTACGAAGATAGTCTCTAAACTTAATCTAAAGAAGGCCCCAGGCATTGACGGGATCACGAATCTCATGATTAGGAACGTGCCTAAAAGTGACATTACAAGACTCACAGACATCTTTAACGCTTATATCACATGTTGCTACTTCCCAGAAAGCTGAAAATGTGCAAAAATATTTTTGCTTACCAAACCCACTAAATAAAAAATCACAAGCCGATTAGTCTTTTATCCAATCTTACTGTGATATCTTCGTTTTGAAGTGTTGAGTCATTTAATTTACAGTAGTTGTCTTTTTGATTATTTATTGAAAACAATAACAACATGATTGAAACAAAATATGAAATATCATACGCGGCACAGTGCCGGATCTACACATCTTACCATATCGTTCCTGTGTGTCCTAACTTTATTTTCCCCTCGCCGTGGGAAAAGCAAACATCAGTTTATTTCTTTAGGGAATTTTAGTTGGAACATCCTCCGGCCCGCGACGAAGGTATTTATCATAAATTCAAAATCTTACAATAAAATAGTACATCTTATACTTTTACAAAACTTTTAATATGCAAAATAGCATGAATACTTTGTATATAAAGGACATTATCATCATACTAGCTACTACTATACGTTTTATCTTACTAACTACCACAAGCTAAATGCAAATAGAAAAGAAAGCAATTATCATCATTCAATAACTAACAAGTAACAAATTTCAGTTACCAAAGAAATACTAAATAGATACTTGAAAATTCTGAAAACAATATCCATATCTCTTTCCAAGTTCCAAATGATGTAGCATTTGGATAGGCCTTTTTATTACACCTGAAGAAGTTTTCACTGTGATACTTTTTACCTTGTTATCCCAGCCTCTGTGCAACTCTATCACCTTCCGCAGCTGCCGAGGTACATGACCAGCCTGGTGCGGTAAGGATGTTAAACGTTTTCCAGTTAGGAAATGAGCAGGAGTGAGAGGGAATGGCTCTGATGGATCATTGTAAACGTAAGTAAGTGGTCTAGAATTTAGAATAGATTCTATTTCTGTCAAAATGGTTTGCAATTCTTCAAAGGAAACTGAAGCCTTTCCTAGCACTTTTCTCAAAATACCTTTTGTCATCTTCACCATTCTCTCCCAGTATCCACCCCATTAAGCCGATCTTTCGACAAATTGTCATCTTATTCCTTTTGTATCAAAATAATTTTGTACAGATGGATCAACAATATTTCCATATAACTTCTTCAGTTTTACATCTGCACCTTTAAATGGTTTGGCATTACCAGAGTTTATAGTTCGGCAAACACCTCTTCGTGATACAAAGCGACGAAATGCTAGAAGGAAATGTTCGGTGCTTAGGCTAGAAACAATTTCAAGATGAACTGCACAAGTAAACAAACAAATATATACCTTGTCTCCATTTTTTGTAAACAAAGGTCCAGCAAAATCAACACCTGTGATTTCAAAGGGGTTCGCTTCATGAATTCTATCCGCTGGTAGTGGAGCAGTCACTTGAGTGCCCTTTTTAGCCTTAAATTTCCTGCAAACGAAACAGTTATTCAAGCCCGATTTTACAGCTTGTCTGCCTCGGATGATCCAATACTTTTCTCGAGTTTGAGTGTGTGTATCTAAAACACCAGCATGAAGCAAGTTCTCATGTTCTCTTTTGATTAGCAATTCAGTATATCTCGATTTTTTTTCGGTATAATCCATGGATGCTTTTCTTGAAACTGAAAATCAGAATGTTGCAATCTACCACCAAGACATATGAGTCCTTCTGCCGTCAGGATCGGGTTTAGACTATATAATTTGGAATCGGAACTAAGTGTTTCCTTGCGTGTCAATTTAATAAGATCCTTTTCAAACTCACTTCGCTGTATAAATCGAATCCAATAGCGTTCAGCAGTTAGCGCTTCTTTACACCTTTCAGAATTTCTCTTACAGATATTAATAAACCGTATGACGTATGCAGTGATTCGAAGAACCTTAGATAAGTCACTGTATCTGTGCAAATTTAACAAGCTATCGGTACGTTCAACGTATGTTGGTAAAGCAATACAGTTCTTTTTTCTCTCCTTTTCCGCTTCAAATGTATCAATATCAGCATTATCGGTATTTCTTCACTGTTTGGAACATCAACTTCTTTTAGCCACAAGGGCCCTCCCCACCATGTTTCATCATTAATTAAAGATCGTGCACTTACTCCCCTAGTAAGTTTATCTGCAGGATTCAGCTTTCCGTTGCAAAAATTCCAATTCGATGGATTTGTCTTTTCTTTGATTTTCAACACTCTATTGCGGACAAATTGCTTCCAATCATTTGCAACACCTCTAATCCAATGTAGACATATTGTGGAATCTGTCCACGTGAAAATGTCACTTTCTTTCAGAGAAGAAAACGTGGATCGTATATAATCAGACAATCGTGCGGAAATCAAGTTTCCTAGTAGTTCTAATCGCGGCAAAGTCATTTTCTTCAGTGGAGCTAGACGAAATTTTGAAATTATAAAACTTGCACATTTGTCATGATATCTGATCTTGAAATATGCGTTTGGGCTTGCGTCAGAAAATATATGTACTTCCAGCTGCTGAATCTCCAGCTCGTCAAAATATGGTCGAGGTATGACAAGCCTCTCAAGCTCGGATATTTCATTCACCACACCTGGAACATAGATTCCAATTCTGCTGGAATATTTTCATCCCATTTTAAGCCCTTTCCCAAAGATTCTGCACTATCAATTCTAACACAGAATGGTGTAATTAAACCTAATGGATCAAACAACATGCCACATGCACTTAGAATTATGCGTTTTGTTGGTGTCACATATTTAAATTTTGTAAATTGATTCAGATCTATCTTCAAAGTGTCCTTGTCATTGTCCCAAATTAATCCTAATACCTTTAACGGTATATCTCTTTGATTCGATGGCGTCCGACATTCCATTTGGGTTTCCTTCCACCTTTGATTAAGGATAGCTGAATTCGAAGACCATTGCCGTAAATTCATGTTTGCTTCACTCAGTATAAATTTAGAGTCTCTTGATAGAGATACCGCTTCTTCAACAGTTGATGCCCCACTTATTAAGTCATCAACATAAAGTTCTTTCAAAATAGAACATGCTTCACTGTGTGAATTTGCATATTTGTTTAAATGAAGTCGTATAGTTGCTGTGAAAATAAAAGGACTGCATTTCACACCAAAAGGAGCACGTGTCATTCGTAAAATTCTGATATCACGACCATTGAAATCAAGTTCGGTTCCCCGCTCATTTCTCCATAAAAACTTTCGATCCTCCTCTGCTATGCCAATCTCTAAAAATCCTCTCTAAATATCAGCACAAAATGCAATCGGGTGATAACGAAATCTTAAAATAATTCTGAGCAAATCTGGATTAAGGTTGGGACCACTATCTAAACAATCATTCAGCGACTGTCCATTTCTAACTTTCGATGACGCATCATACACAATCCTAACTTTCGTACTTTCCTTTGATTCGCGTACTACAGCATGATGAGGCGTAAAGTAACAGATTTTCCTATCACAATCTCCATGAAATGCAACTTGCTCAATAATACCGTAACTTAACTGCTCATTAATTATTTCTTTATAACGATAATACAGATGCGGATCATACCTAAATTTATTATTTAGGCTTATCAAACGTCTTTCTGCAACTTCATAATTACTGTTCAATGTGTTACAACCCTCCTTCCATAATAATTTAGTTTCATACCTGTCATTTTTAAACGTGGTATTTCTTTCAAACCTATCTATGACATCTGCATCTGATCACGAAATTTCCTTTTCCTAATTTATTCCTATAGCCTCCAAATCCCATAAATTCCTAACTCTTTCAAAATCTGTTTGTCCCTTCACGGAGATATGGTTTACACAAGTCTTATCATACTCATAATTGCCATGATTATCCGATCCCATTTCCTTACCTTGGATTACAAACCCAAACAAACTGTCCGTAATAACTAATCGTGTCCCTAATCTTATGTTTCTTTCATATAAAATTTCCCAAATGTAACCTGAGCCAATCAACACGTGTATCTCTTTCGTATTTCCAATGTCGGCCTCCCTTACTTAGAGCCATATTTCTCACCCACTTTGAAGGAACTTCTAAGTGGTCATGCGTAATCGCATCAATTACCACTGCTTCTATGCGGAGCGTTTTACTTGGGTTGGTTCTATTCCGCAAATCAAGCTGAACTATATTATACTGCTGTTTAGGTTTACGCCAGGGCTTAATTTCTAAGATTAGAAGTGCCGGAGCCCTATAGACGACCGTCAGTAAAGAGGAACAAGAGTAAAGAAATAAATAAAATAACCATTAAATTCATTAATAATTTTAAAATTAAATAGTTAATTATTATAAAATTAATTAATGTTATTAATTTACCACAGTTATAAATTGTTATTTAAAAAATTAAAATTAAATAAAATGTAAAGAGATAAAGTGAAATTTTAAAACCAATTTCGAATATAATTTTATTGTTAAAATAAAATTTTCGAGATAAAATTACTGAAATTATTATTCAATTACATAAAAGAAGTGTCGCAGCATTCTTATTCAGGACTCCGGTGCGTTCCGACTAGAATTATGATTTATTACAAAAACTAAGAAGCACCGGAGACGAACCCTTGGGCTCCGGCCCAATTTAAGCTCGGATCGTAGGGAGCGAGTTCTTTTATCATCACAAAAATTAAATATACTTAAAGTATGATGAAAATTCAGGGCGAAACAGAATGAGGATATGAGTGGGTGGAAATAAAAAGTGAGGGGAATCTTGGCGAGAGAGAACGTTCTCTTTGAACGCGGCTCTCTGCTGATATAATTATAGCCATCAAGCAGATGTATGTCAGGGGTAAAATGAGTCCTGAATCTGACTCCTAAGGATGAAAGTAAAGTTGCTGGTTACGCTTTCCTCCCATTAGTGGATACTGTGGGAAGACGATGTATAGGATGTGCTTGAGCAGTTTATCTCGGTATTTCCCTCATATTGTACTCGCTGTCACTTAATGCACATTTAACACAAATTTTCCTTCATGCTAGGATCAATACGCTAGATACAATGGCATGGCGAGAAATGTACGCGTTCCTGAACAAACTCCCGCGAATTTATTGCCCTTCTTAAAGGGAAAGGTTTCCGCATGTGAGTGAAGGGACTTTACTTGAATGTCTCATGAGTTCGTATTTCTAGGGAAATAGAGTATTGCAAGGTCTGCTTATTATTAAACTAAAACGTTAGGAATTCTAAATTTTTTTTCAATTTAAATTGTGGTTCAGTTTTATAAAAAAAAGTATCGGAGCTCATCTTATTTATGGCTCCCGTGCGCTCCGGCTGGAATTGGAATTTATTTTGAAAATTGAGAAGTACCGGAGCCGGGCTCCGGCGCAATTTAAGCACTGGTTTACGCTCGCTACCAAACCCATATATTTCAAACGCTTCACATCTGGTAGCCTTCAATCCTAAAGAGTCCGCAGTTTTCCTTCTGATAAACGTTCTGTTACTCCCGCCGTCTATGAACACCCTCAAAATTTCGCTCTTTTTATTTGTTTTTACTGTACTGCTGAATGCTTATAGTAAAACCGGGGACGACGCTTCAGCGCTCTCGGTTTTGTTTACAGATTCCCTTTTACTTCCTCCGAAGCAATGCAATGACTGTACCGCAGATAAATTATTGCCCGTTTCTTTACTATTTGATTCGGCTGCATTATTTATCGGTTCAGCCTTATCGCATATTAAATAATTGTGAGTTTTTTTTACATAATTTGCAGAGCTGGTCCTTTTTCCAGCAAAATTTTGAGGTATGTGTACGTTTCAGACAAATGTAACATCGCCCTTGTGATTTTAACGAATTTCTTTTTTCTGTTAATGGTAAAGGACATTTATGTGTTTCGTGAGATTTATCCCAACAAAAACTACACATTTCATTCGCTACGGCTGTTAAAGCAGCTGCTGTTGGAATGCGCGCTTTTGAAATGTTTCGTTTTGAGTCTACGTAATTTTTCTGATAATTTTGACTCGTTCCTCTATTACTAAAGGGAGTTTCATTTCGTTTAAAATTTTTTTGAATCTGGTAATAAAAAAGACGCTTCTCTTATTTCTACCTCTTTTCTCAAAAACCCAACTAAATGCTCTATATGAAATGATTCACGCGATTCGCGTTGTCTATTGTAATACAAATTTAGCTCTTCTGGAATTTTCTGTAGTATTACCGGGCAAAGTAAACTACTATAAGTTCCTGCTGCAACACCTAAAAGACTTTAATGATCGAATTTGAATCTCAATGGTATCATTTTGAATTTGAATCTTCGCAATGCTGGAATGTTCGCGCATGTCTTAACAGAATCAATCAGCAACAGTTTATTCATGTGCGAGCTTATAATCAAATCTAGCCTTCCGAATCTTTCTTTTAACAATTTAATTGAGGAATTATAATTTTCGTTTGTTAACGAAAATCCCGAAACTGCTGATAAGGCAGTACCTTCCAAAAAGGTTTTCAGATAAGAAAACTTCTCAACCGTACTTAAGGAATTGTTATTATGAATAGCTACTTCGTAGGAATTCCAGAAATCCAACCAAGAGCTACAATCACCATAAAACTTCCCAGTACTTAATTTCGGAAGCTTAACTACACTAAATTCGTTTCTTACTACTCGTTGTTCCAATCTAACACTTTCATTAACCCGAATTTTATTTTGC